ATAGATCGTGCTAGTTTTTCTTACCTGTCAGTGTAAGACCGCAGTATGGTGATACCGAGGACAAAGTACATCATTAGAGAGAAAATCACCATGCTGAGGCCCAACAGGATGGCTCTGTCCTCGCCTGCCCTCAGAGCCGTCACTGTCCTCCGTCTGTCCAGGACCTCATAGTCCCGAATCCTCTGATAAATAGAACTGAACAGGATCAAAACACTTTAATGGTATATATATGAATTAATCGATCAAGCTGCAAAGAAAGCTGATTTCTGAATAAACGTCTTACTTCCTTTCAGTCTGTCTGTCTGTGGCTTTAGGTCCCACCCATAGAAACATTGCTTCAGGGGAGTTTGGAAACTGGAGTCTGCCGCTGGAAGAGTTGATCCACCTGCAATAAAAAACACAGAAACATGTAAAAGAACCTGGATAGAAACTTATTTTATCTGCCTTTTTCTCTGTAATTAGAAAGGCTGTGACAATTTTGCAAGAATAGAATCAAACCTAAATCATACGATGACAGTTACATTATTTCTTCAACATTTAAGTCAATAATTAATATAACTACTTTACTCTTTAAAGACCCCTTAAAATATATTATTACTTTACCTTATGTTTATGTGCATGAAATAAAGTTCTCATTATAATCATTTCTAAACACATAGAATTTGAATATTATTTAATTATTTAATGAGTCAATTTGAATGTATTTTTTTATATTTCTTGGTACATTTAATTGTTTAATTGTATATGTTACATTATAGTTTTCATATTTAAATCCTGTAACCAAGTAATTAAATGTTATATCTTCTTATTTCATGGTATTTAAGAATTTAATAACTCAGTGGTCACCTCATAGTGATTGTAAAAAACACCTCACTTTGGGAAGCTCTGCTCTAACAGTCTGCCTGTTTGCCTGCCTCCTTCACAGCTGTTCCAAATCCCCATAATACCACAGCTGCATTTTACGACATTCTCCAGTCCTACCTCAGTACTTTATATAACCTCACAGGATACCATCGCTGGATTCTTCTGTCATAATAGTGTTAAATTAATCTTTTTATCTGCCGTAGTTCCCTGACCTGCTCTCCTTTGGGTCCATGAAAAGTTACCCTGGAAAATATAAAAGAACCATTGTTTTCACATTTTATAAAAGAAACAGTCTCATAAGAATTCAAGTTTTTAGACACTGAATTTATAATCCTGAATTTTTAACCTGTGCAGATATCTAGTTGATTTTTCTTGCTTTATTTATCCTTTTACTTCGGTTTAGCGAGCAAACATTTCACCTGGACAAATTCTACTGCAGATATTCGTAAATAAAATAATTCAAATGATAAAATGTGTAGACCTGTTGACTTAACCCTTTGAAGCCTGATCCAAGAATAAAACAAAACAGAAAATTACTTTTTTTTGGTTTGAATTCCTTTTTTGCCCTTTTAACAAAATATGTAAAAAGAAAAAACAGAAATACATTTTTGATATCAATAATTTATTACTATGCGATAAGTCAAGATTATTTTTTGTGTAGTCTTCTACTGGCTGTTATCAGGTATATCTGATTGCGTACAATAGGATTTTGAGCGAAGTTTTTACCATTAAATTATGCAAAAGGTGTCAGACGCAAAACATTTCAGAAACCGTATGTATCAAATACGATACATTTGGCATTAAAAGGGTTAAAGTTGGCTTTTAGCCAATCAAATTATTCCATCCATGCATTTGCTGCCTTCAAATATTAGAATATCATCCCAGCAGGGTTTCACCAAAGGTCCTCTTTTTTTAAATTATTTTTAAACTGATGCAGTTTGGCTGCCATGGAACTCATGTTTTAAGTAAAAACATCAAATTTCACGGGAACATTTCCTGTGTCCTTGTGACGCCGGAAATTAACCAAGTGGTTAACAATTCATAACCAATTCTTATTATACTGCTTAGAGTCAATTGCAGTTTAATAATTGTTTTTTTATGCTTTCTGAGAATCAGGTGCACAGCACAGTTAATAAGATCCTCATCATATTAAATTCTCAAGACAGTGGCTCCACAAGGCTTGAAAAAATGTACAAATTATCAGCAAAATACGCTGATGTTTTAAGTAGGATTTTGCTCTTTTTGGATTTTTCTTCTTAACCCGTCCACAAATAGGTCATATTGTAACAAAATGTACATAAAAATGCTTCAAAAACAATATTTTATTTTCATGCAATATTTTTCTTCTACTCAACTGTTAAAATTTTAGACATTAATAATATTAGATACTGATACTGATTTGAGAGCCCCTTATGTTCTGTATTTGTTGTCAGTAGTTGAGAATCATTTTCACCAAACAGATCTGGATCCAGTGAATAGAGGTCCGTTTGTGTCATAATGGACATAAATAAAAACATTTAAAAACATCTTTATTAATAGAAGAACTTTTCAAAGCTCAGCTTTTCTCCTTCACTTTGTTGCCGGCGCCTCGCCTTAAGTTGTAAACCAGTCCGTCAGTATTTGACTGAACATTTTCTGATGAGTTTATTGGCTACTGTGGTTCATGCTTAAAATGACCTGAGCGTCTGAGTTGTCCACAGCACATACCCGTCACTCGTTTAGAGTTAAGGATCAGTGCAGAAATGGAAACCATCCTGTCATGTGAAAGCTGACATTTTGAAGGTCAGTATTAAAAAAGAACACTTATATAACGCCAAATGTAGGGTGTCGTTTCATTACTGGTTTCAGGGCTGCATTTGAAATGAAACCAGATTTCTTTCTTCCTGATTTAAGGTAATTAGGAAAGAAACAAAGTGGAGGATTTCCAGAGCAAAGCAGGCTAGAGAGAGTTTGGCTGGATGCCTGCATTTGCAGAGGCCTTGTTCCCTGCCTCAGCCATGCCAGGTTCTGACCCCCAATCAAAAGACTTTTACTTCTCCTCTTTCCACTTCCTTTCCTGGCTGTCTACTGTCACATAAAGGCCAATAGTGCCCAAAAAATCTGGAAAAAAAGGCACAAGTAGGAAGCTCCTGTAAAATTGAGCATTTATGATGTGAATTAAAAGTAAACAGACCCATGGATGAATTAGAGAGATGACACCCTTCAAAATCATCATAATCCATAAAAAAACATCTTGGTTTTTCCATGTGTAACTTCTTTGGTGGATGAAAGAAACCATTTCTCTAAAAGCAAGTCTAGAGGACTAATCAAACTATACATAAAAGATTTCCCATTAGGGGGGCCTATTGAAGTGGTAAAGCAGCATCCTGTTAAACAAAAATTGTTGGTTTGATTCTAGCTTTGTCTTGCTGCAGGTCTATGTCACTTCAGGACAGAAACTTAATTATAAGTTTGGTACAGATCAGAAGAGCGGAGTTACTGTTTACCTGAGCAGATGATCTTGTATGTG